CAATGCAAAAGTCAATATCCCTTTCGGGTGGCATACCTGACAGGTCTGAAGGGAAAAACTCAGGAAACTCACGAACAACGGGCACAGAATCAATAGAAGGAACCTTAGCACTAGAGTCATGAACATATGCCAAATAGACCAAACACCCCTTCTCGACCATACGCCGAGCCTTCACATAAGAAATAACACTACGGGTAGAATGACCAGGAGTCCCTCTCCACTCTAAACGAGGTAAACTCGGTAAGGCTAAGATCACAGTCTTGGCATGACAGTCCAAGATAGCGTGTTAAGGTGATAACCAGTCCATCCCTAATATGACATCAAACTTGACCATATCCAAAAGAAGCAAATCTACACGAGTTTCAAGACTTCTAATCATAACTATACAAGAATGATGGACTTAATCTACCACAATAGAGTCACCAACTGGTGTAAACACATATACATGGGCACTCAAAGAATCACTATGCATGACCAGATACAGTGCAAAATAAGATGACACATAGGAGTACGTAGACCCTGGATCAAATAAAATGAAAGCATCTCTGCCACAAACCGGAACAGTACCTATGATAACTACATCAGAAGCCTCAGCCTTAGGCGGCTGGAAGAGCATAACATCGGGGCTGGGCCCCCCACCCTGGACTACCTCTCTGGGACAGCCTATAACTGGCTGGCCTCCACCTCTAGCGGTCAGAGCTCCACCTCTAGAACCTCTACCTCCACCTCTAGCACCTCTACTCCCACCTCTAGCTGGCGGGCGGTCTGTGGAACACCTGGTGCCTGAACCATAGCACGGGAACCCTGCTGTTGCGAATGAGTACCCACCAATCTCGGACAAGCTCTCTTGATATGACCATACTCACCACACTGAAAACATCCACCTGAGTGCTGCGGCTGAGGAAACAGAGATTGACCCTAGCGACCTGAATGACCACCCTGAAAACTCTGGAGTGGCGGTTCACTGATAGGAGTTGGTGGTGCACTGTAGGGCTGCTGATCAGAATACTGCATGTGAGAACCACGGCCACCTGAAGCACCGTGAGAAACCTGAAGTGCTGACTGAAAGGGCCTAGGAGGATGGCCTCTACCATACGAATCCCTGCCTCCAGACGAGGCACCACTGAATCTGCCTGAATGACGGGGCCTTTTGTCCGACCCATGACCACCTCCCTGCGACAGAACCATATCCGCTCTCCTGGCCACATTGGCTGCCTCCTAAAAAGTAATCTCACTCCCAGTCTCCCTAGCCATCTGAAGATGAATCGGCTGAATAAGTCAATCAATGAACCTCTTCACCCTCTCTCTCTCTCGGTGGGAAGTATGACAAGAGCATGACAAGCCAAGTTGATGAATCTGGTCTCATACTGGGTAACATTCATGGAACCCTGCTGGAGACACTCAAACTACCTTCGATAGGCCTCTCTCTAACTGATGGGGAGAAACGTCTCCAAAAATAGCTGAGTAAACTACTCCCAAGTCAAAGCTGGCAATCCGTCTGGTCTAGCCAAGCAGAAATCCCTCCACTAAATCTTGGCAAATCCAGACAGGCGAAAAGTGGCAAAATCGACCCCATTAGTCTCAACTATCCCCATGTTCCTGAGAACCTCATAACAGCTATCTAGATAATCCTGGGGATCCTCAGTAGATGCACCGCTGAAAGTAGTAGTAAAGAGCTTGGTGAACCTATCCTACCTCCATAAGGCATCGGCAGGCATAGCTGCTCTATCACCAGTATGAGCTACCACACCCGGCTGAACTGCTCTAACTGGCTGAACCGCAAGAGTCTGGAACTGTGTAGCTACCTACTCCGAGGTGCGAGTAGCAGGAGTCTGGGCTCCTCCTCCAACCTGAAAGACGGCTGGTGCTACAGGAAGCAAGCCTGCCCGAGTGACACTCTCCATAAGGACCACTAGACGGACCAAAGCATCCTGAAGTACTAGGGTAGCAATAAACCCCTTTGGGACCTGAGCTGGGCCCACCAGAACTGCTGGGGCCGGAACCTCATCATCAAAGTCAAATTGAGGCTCCGCTGTGGGTGCTGCTGCCCTGGGCTGAGCTCTGCCCCTACCTCGGCCTCTAGCACAGCCTCTCCCTCTGCCCCTCATAGGAGCTACTGCTAGGGCTCGGGCTACTGGTCGGTGGATGAGGAAGCGCGTGTTCTCGCCATCTGCAAAAGAACAGAGTAGAATTTCAATTAGCATTGAGAAACCAATCCGCACGACAAGAAAGAATAAATGTGGAATGTTTCCTAACTCTGTAGCCTCTAGGGGATAAATATAGACGTCTCCATACCGATCCCTCAGACTCTACTAAGCTTGTCCGTGAATTGTGAGACCTATGTAACCTAGATCTCTGATACCAACTTGTCACAACCCGGATTTCCCACCCTCGAGAGTCGTGATGGCGCCTACTCGTAAAAGCTAGGCAAGCCACTAAACATAGAAAATTTCTAACTCTTTCATTTTAACCCCTTTTTAACAATCTGAATTAACAGGTATCCAACATTTAGATATTAACGATAAATGAAATCAAGCGGAAGATTTAATCTAATCTAATAACCAAGACCAGTACGATAATGACAACACACATCTCTACCTGGAATTCAGTGTCACAATATCACGGACGGACTAAGATTACTACAACAACTGTTTGAAAGAAATACAATATGTCTCAAAATCTAATGAAAACAGAGTACATAATAAAGTAGAAGAGAACGTCGGGCCTGCAGATGCCTGCAAGACTACCTCAGGATCTCTGGCTGGACTGAAGGCAGGCTCCCCAAGTGCTACTGTCCAAAGATGCTCCGGAATCTGCATATAGTGCAGAGTGTAGCATCAGCACAACCGACCCCATGTGCTGGTATAAGCGCCTGGCTAACCCCGATGAGGTAGTGACAAGGCTAGGACCAGACTCCAAATAAACTGTGCAGTTATATAATATACAACGAAAAATAAAATGGAATAAACAATTAACATGGGAGGGGTACATGCTACGGGGGAAATATCGGATCCAGCAGAAACTTAAGAGAAATATGAGAGAACAATTCAAGATTTACATCAAAATCATAATAACACTGTTGCGGTGCGCAACCTGATCCCTATCATTTAACATTGTTGCGGTGTGCAACCCGATCCAACATAACATTGTTGCGGCATGCAACCCGTTCCAACATAACATTGTTGCGACGTGCAACCCGATCCAACATAACATTGTTCCGGCGTGCAACCCGTTCCATGTGTAGTATTGTTGCGGTGTGCACCCTGATCCATTATAACATTTATATACCTTTAGCAATAACCATACCAAGAATCCCGGCAAGGGGCCAACAATAAGCTATACTATCCCGGTAAGGGATTCGACAGTAAAAGTAAATACGTCCCGGTAAGGGAGAAACAACTATAACCAATCTTAACCCAACTTATACTCATCTCAGCTAACACCAATACTCATTCGTAAGTAATTTCCACGAAAACAAATTTAATCCTTGCTCAATATCGAGAATCATCAATTAAAGCATCCGTAGTACTATTTAAGAACACAAAATAAATTGCAATTTAAGACCCACGTTCATGCTCGACACCAACGTATAGATACCCATCACCATGCCTATATGTCGTACTCAACAAGAAGCAAATAGAAAATAGGACACCACTCCTAATCTCTCAAGCTAAGGTTAGACCGAACACTTGCCTCGAACTTCCATGACCAACTCAAGCCTCAAACACCACCTTTCCTTTCAAATTAGGCTCCAAATCAATTGTATCTAGATATAATCGACTTAATAACATCAATAAATGCTAAACAATCCAATTTCAATGCTTAATTATATCTTTCCCATCATTCTTCCCAAAAAGTCAAAAATTGACCCTGGGCCTGCTTGGTCAAAATACGAGGTTCGGACCAAAACCTGATCACCTATTCACCCACGAGCCCGAATATATAATTTGTTTTGAAATTCGACCCCAAAACAAGGTCAAATTCCCAAATAATCAAAAAGCTCTAACTCTACCCAAATCCCTAATTTTCTACCCTTAGTCACATAATTTAGGCCTAGAAATCTAATGGGTGTTAATGAAAATTGAAGAAAATGAGTCTAAGATTACATACCTATGTATTGGTGGTGAAATCCCCTTTCAAAAATCGCCCAATTTGGAGTTGAAGAGAAGAAGTTATGAAATTTTGGCTAAATCTCGTTTTTTGGTTCTGTTTTAAAATCACTAGACAGGCCTTCATCGCGTTCGCGATAGGTCTATTGCGTTCGCGATGAAGCCAGCTTAAGTGACTTTCGCATTCGCGCTAAACGGCTTGCATTCGCGGAGCTTCATCTTCCAGAGCCTTCGCGTTCGCGTCCAGGTGGTCGCGTTCGCGTAGGGTATAGTACCCCTCCCCCTGTCCATGCTATAAACCTTCGCGTTCGCGATACCAGGCCCGCGTCGCGAAGGGAAGACCCCCCAATGCTTCGCATTCACGACCTGGTTCTCGCATTCGCGTAGAAGGAATTTTCCTTCTGCATGAATAGCTCATCGCGTTGGTGAGGGTCCTCCCCCGAACGTGAAGAAGAAAATATTAGCACACCAGAACTGAAAAACCTGCAACTTTTTGAGTTCCAAAAACCTTTCGAAACACATCCGAAACTCACCCGAGCCCTCGGGGTTCCAAGCCAAACATACGTACTAACTCAAAAATATCATATGAACTTATCCGTGCGATAAATCGCCAAAATGACATCATTAACATCGAATTAAACCTCAAAATCAATGGATTATTTCAAAACTTCTTAAAACATCAAATTTTGCATTTAAGGTTCGAATCACGTCAAACGGATTTCGTTTCTTACCAAACTTCACAGAATTATCTTAAATCACGTATAACACCTGTACCGGGCACCGGAACCAAAATACTGGCCCGATACCAATATGTTCTAATCAAAATTCATTTCCAAATCCTTTAAACAATTTCAAAAAATAATTTTTTTTAAAAATTCATTTCTTGGGCTTGGAACCTCGGAATTCGATTCCGGGCATACGCCCAAGTCCCATATTTTCTTACGGACCCTCCGGGACCATCAAATTACGGGTCTGGATCCATTTATCCAAAACGTCGAACGAAGTCAAATTAATTCATTTTATAGTTAAAATTTATCATTTTCACAGATTTTCACATATAAGCTTTCAGGCTACGCGTTCGAACAGTGCACACAAATCGAGTTGATGCTAAAAGATATTTTTAAGGCCTCGAAATGCAGAATTCAATTTAAAAACAAGTGATGTCCTTTTGGGTCATCACATATAATCGGTTGGTTCAATAAATATAAATGAGCTATCCAATTATGCTATACGATATTGCAATTAATTAACATGAAGAATCGTGATGGGAGGATTATGAATTTTTAATCTCAAGTCTTAATTAAATATTATGAGTTCGAGTCGTAAATATGGTTTCTTCACTCTTAGTCAAACGTCTCGGGTTCAAGTGATGCGACAAAAATAAATTTACTCAACTCTGCTTCTACTTAATATATCCATGTTTTAACTTTTGATGCCTGCTAAATTACTTTGTTTTACCATGTTTTATCCAAAACTTTTATCTGTTTTGGTATGTTTTGTTTAATACCACCATAACGAGTGCTGATATTCATTGGTTTGTAGTGCATATATTTTACTTCTAAGTTTTGATTTGGTATATGTGAAACTTATGCACACCAAAGATGTCAAATTTTAAAAAACCCGTGGATTCAACATGCTGGACACAAAAAGGGAAACGTCAATGCTCTAAAGAAAGAGGCATCCAAATTAAACAAAGACGTCGCGAAATGTATAGGGCGAGGTCGGTCGATAAAAGAGAACTAAATTTACTGGAGCGTCGAACGACATACCTTCATTCTAGAAAGCAGAATCCAACCAGTGATTCCACTGAAGTATCAGCTTTTTACCAATTTAATAGAGAATTAGCGAGGCAGAGAGCTGCTCTAACAGGAGCCTCATCTTCTACCTTGACAACAGGTTTGTGCGCTAAGATTTTGTTATCCTTGAATAAACTATGTGATACACATATTTTGTATGCTCATAAGTTGCTCTTATGTTTTAGTAAATGTGTTCACAGTTAATGATTCCACTCTTTCTGATAATGGGAAAGACCTACATGGTCGCTCTCCCGTTTTTAAAGTTGGTAAGTGCGAAAGTATAGTGTTCAAAGTTGTGCAATCTTTCAAGACCCAAATTTATATGATAATTCATTTTCTCTTAGGGTCTACAACAGGAACGTGTAGTGAACAATATAATAATACCATGTGTAACGCTACAAGCAAAGGTTCGTTTCCATCTAGCTTTAATGTCATTTCAGTCATTTCTTTTTCACGACTGGCCTTTTTTCATTCTGGTAAATCTAAAATATATGGGTCGTACATCTAAAAAATGTGTCTCTGGAACACTAATGACTTGCCCAATAGCTTTTATAGACTAAAAACTGTGCCGAATTGCAAATTTTGTAGAGCTAGAAGATTTCAATATGAATCACCGGGATTATGTTGTGATAATGGATCAATGAAATTGATTCACTATGGACTACCTGCTAAATTGCTAAATCTTTATTTAGGAAACTCTCAGGAGTCCAAATATTTTCGCACTTATGTTAGATTGTATAACAATATGTTTGCATTTACTTCTCTTGGAGTGAATTATGATAGAGATTTAGCAAGAAAAAATTGTAGTATTTATACGTTTAGAGTTCAAGGGGAAATGTATCATTTCATAAATGACCTCCTGCCTTCAAGTCAACCAGCAAAAAATCTTGTATTTTTATGATACTGATAATGAACTAGCAAATCGGTTGGCATACTTTGACAGGCTTAACGAATCGGTTATCAGGATTTTGATGGACGCATTAAAAGTTAATCCATACTCTATCTTTTTGAAATCTTTAACAGATATCCTAGAATTATCAAACTTCTACATTGCGCTTAAGTCCGACTCTGGTTTAGATCAAAGAACCTATAACTTACCAACATCATCTGAAGTAGCAACAATATAGATAGAAGATGAAAGTAGTTCCAGTATTTCTCTACCACATATTCGAATTTATACACATAGTAGTAAAAGCCAATTGGTAAATTACTACTATGGTTGTTATGATCCATTGCGGTATCCATTACTATTTCCTTATGGACAAAACGGATGGCATTGTGGTATTAAAAAGATTATTCGAACGAATAATACTATTAGCCATGGAACTTATTGTGAAAATGAACAACTACCAAGTGTAGAAAATATGTGTTCAGTCGATATGCTACTTGACATGGAAGCAGAACTTCTGGAAAAAAAGAAAAGAAAAAGAAATACTGTGTCATGCCGTGAGTATTATTGTTACAAGCTCCAAATGAGGGACGATGAAGAAAATGGGGTTTTACAAGCTGGAAGAGTATTCCAATAATACTCAGTTGACGAATTCATCAAGCTTGAGACTCAAAGGTTAGATTTCTATTCATTTAATCAAGATTTATTTAGAATAGATGTGTTAGCGGGGATTTTTAATGTTCTAAGACACGGAGAGAGAGAGAGAGAGAGAGCCATGCAACATTGGCAAATAAAGTTTTCTTCCTGCAAGTTTTATAGGAGGTCCTAGGGATATGCACCGACGATATATGAACGCTATTGCGTTAGTGCAAAATTTTGGGAAACCTAATATATTTTTGACAATGACATGTAATCCATCTTGGACAGAAATAGAAGAACATTTACTGGTAACAGATGAGGTACAAAATATGCCCGATTTAGTTAGTCGTGTGTTTAGAGCAAAGGTAGAAGAGATGAAAACAAATATCCTAAAGAGTAATACATTTGGAAAAGTTGTTGCTTTTATGTACACTATTAAATTTCAAAAGCGTGGTCTTCCATATGCTCATTTTCTTATCATACTCAAAGACGAATATAAATTGTTAACTCCGGAAGCTTATGATAGAGTTGTTTGTGCTGAAATACCCGATTCTGATGAGAATGATTACCTGTATTCAGTTGTTACTAAACATATGATGCACAGACCTTGTGGTAGTTTAAATCCTAAATGTCCTTGTATGAAGAACCGAGAATACTGTAAGTTCAAATATCCAAAAGATTTTGCGGATCATATATCAAAGGGAAAAAATGGATACCCAATTTACGAAAGATGATATAACGATAAACGTGTAAATATTAGAGGACAATTTCTTAACAATTCGTGGGTAGTTCCTTACAATACATATCTATTGAGCAAATTTAACTGTCATATTAATGTTGAAGTTTGTTCTGATATTAAAGTTGTCAAATACCTTTATAAATATATCTGCAAGGGACATGATAAAATTGCCTTTTTCGTACGTGCTAATGATCCAAATATTGAAATAGATGAGATCAAAGAATATCAATTGCTAGGTGTGTATCTCCACCAGAGGCAACTTGGCGTTTATTTGGTTTTCCCATTAGCGAAATGACTCCATCTGTTTATCATCTTCAACTACATCTTGAAGGATAGCAATTTGTCTCTTTTAAATCCACACAGACAGTAAATGCAATTATAAATAATCCCATGATTAGGAAAACAATGTTAATAGAATTTTTTTTGATGAACAGAGAAAATCAAGATGCCAAGATAAAGAATTTCCAGAATATTTTGTATGGTCCAAATAATATAAAATGTGGACACGTCGACAATAGGGCAATGTTATTGGACGTATTGTGACATGTCATCCAACAGAGGGGGAAAGATATTGAGCCATTTTTTAACTTTTAGTAATGTTTGGCAACTACAAAAAGGGCTTAAAAAAAGTTAAAATCTGCTTAAAAAAGCCAAAACCAACAAGTTGGGTAAGCCCAACTTTTTCGAAATTGGCTTAAAAGCCAGATATTTTTGACCAAATATATTACATTCTTATTCCTTATTATTTTTCTTAATTCCGAAATTACCCCTCAGTAAAAAAACCCTAAAACATACAGTCTCTTTTTCTTTTGTCCATTCCTGTTGCAGCGTATGCGTTCTTCTTCCTCTTCTTCCATAACTCTCCCCAACTTCAACTCCAATTTGAAAGCCTCTTCACAGTAAGTAATATTCCTGTTGAATTTCAATTCCTAGTGTGTTTTCAAAGTTTTGGATTAATTTCAATTCTATTGGAGATTAGGGCTAATAGATATGCCCATAATAATTTTTTTTAAATCTTTGATGTCCTTACAAAAATTACAATATCTCCTTTTTATACAATTAAATGTGTTCTTATCTAATTAGTTAATCAGAAGTTATCAGACATATACCCCACAAGAAAAGAAGAAAGTTAGTGCAGAAACATCTAGTCGTATAAAAGGAGTTAGCTAATCCAATGGAGCAACTGCTTTACAAACTCCAACGCAACTGCTTTACCTTAATAGGAGTAAAGATTGTATTTTTTTCAATTCTGTAAGTAAAGGGGTCCCAAGAATTTATGTTAGTAAATGTAGAGTCACTGCACCTGCTATTTTTCTATGATAAAAATGGATACCAGTTCAGTATTTGTATTGTAATTTTTCAAAAATTTCCCAATATATGTAAATTCAAGTCAAGAAAAGTAATCTTCTGCTTATAAGTTTGTCCATAGCAAGGGTAAGAGATAACCATTATCCTAATAATGAGATTAAAAGTGAAAAAGAAAATTTACTTTTGTACCTCATAGTTAAACTGTACATTGGGTGTCAAATGTACTGCTTTACCTTAATATACAAAGTTCTGTAAAGATTGTATTTGTATTAGAAGGTGAAAACTAGAGAATGTTTGTGTAATTAAATCCTTTATTTCTGTTTGCATATTATACTTTGTTTGCATATTATACTTTGTATAGAATCAACTTTGTCGGACTGAATATTCTTTTCGGGCCATATTAAAGCTTGGTCACAATATGCCATACAAGGAGTTGTGTGAGCAACTTCAATCTTGGCTTCTTTAAGCTCTTTTAGGCTGTTAAACACAAGGCTCTCCTGATCTCGTCTGTCCTCTCTCACCTGGACCCACCTGTCTTCTACTTGGCGAGAGGTCCTTACCACTTGCTAAACTGGGACCTCAGGCTGTGTCGCCATGACACATGGAACCTGTACAATGAGAACTCGCTGCTATAGAGTGGGGGTAGTGGAAGTCTGGTCCCTTCCCCGAACTGTGAAGTAGTTGGCACAACCTGAATCAACCCCGCCTGAACTAATGTACCAAACATGCTGTGCTAATGTCTCCTGAAGTACTGGAGTAGTAGTATCATTAGGCGTATCCGATGCCTAGGCTCTGGCTGGAACTGCTGGTGGTTCCTTAGTGGCAGCTCGCACGGGTGCTCTGGTTGCACTGCGTGCGCATCCTCAGCTTCTACCCCAGCCCTAACCTCTGACGGCTCTCGCAAGGGGCGCAGGTGTCTGATCATCTCTTGTAGCACGTGTCCTCACCATCGGTGAGAGAATAGAAGATAGAAGTTTAGAATTGTGATATCAAAAATCTCGCACGACAAGGAATTCAAATGAAATGGAAATTTTCCTAACGGTTACATAGCCTCTCGTAGATAAGTACAGATGTCTCCGTACCGATCAACAAGACTCTAATAAACCGGCTTGTGATCCATGACTCCTATGAATCTAGAGCTCTGATACCAACTTGTCACGACCCCGGTACTCCCTCCGTGAACCATCGTGACGGCACCTAGTCTCTACGACTAGGTAAGCCTAATTTGCAAAAGAAAAACCAAAATATTTTGCGGAAGTAAACAATTTAAAATAGAAATAATATAACAATAGTATTTAAATGTGCCGCTCGGCTTACACCACGTTTAACTCTCAATACCAAACATAAATCCAAGACCCGGAAACCCATGAATCACAAGCTAAGACCAATACTACATAGCTCTTACTCCGGAATGTCTAATAAGAACAAGAAGGTACAGAAGGGCTAAATACTAAAAGCATGAATAGAAAGGGACTTCTCGGTCTGGGGACGTGACAGATGTACCTCGAAGTCTCTAGAGTTGTCTCCTCCCTCAAGGATAGTAGACCTGATCAGTGGTACCTGGATCTGCACATGAAAAAAACATGCGCAGAAGAGGCATGAGTACACCACAACGGTACTTAGTAAGTGTCAAGCCTAACCTCGGTTGGGTAGTGACAAGGAAGGTCAGGGCCCTACTGAGGTTAAATAAAATATAAAGATCAACAGTATAGAACGAAACATTATAAATAAGTACAACAGTAAAATAACACAGGTTAAATAGAATAGCAACAACTATATAGAATAAGGTAAATATGGAAAGGAAATACAGCTCAGCACCAAGAGCAAATACAGCTCAGCACCAATAGCAACAATAGGGGATCTCCCAAGAAGATACCGTCCTGTAGTCCCATCTTTACATATCCAGTGAATCTGCCGGGATACCATCCCGTAGTCCATCATATATATATGTCCGAAGGATCCCCGGGATCCCATGCCGTAGTCCAACTCATAGTGCGGGGGGATCTATCGGAATCCCGTTCTGTAGTCCCAAATGTAAATACCCAGTACTGGGGGAATCTACCGGGTGCATTCCCGTAGTTCCATATCACTGTGCAGGGGGATCTACCGGGAATCTAACCCGTAGTCCCAAAGTAAATATGCAGGTGGATCTACCGAGAATCTAACCCGTAGTCCCAAAGTAAACAGACAAGGGGGAGCTACCGGAATCCCACATCCGTAGTCCCAAAATAAATACACAACAACAACAGGAAGATGTACAGAAATGACAAAATCATATTAAGGCAATAAGTGATTCTAGCCTAGCATGCTGCACAGAATTCAAGTAAGGCAGGTTGAATCAAATAAAGCAAATTAAGTCACTTAAACATGTTTTCCTAAGCTAACAACAGGCTTAATAGTGCAAGAAATAGAAACAAGAAAGGAAACATACTAGTAATTACTTAAGAAAACCGGATTTTCAACAATTAGCACAAGTACGCACTCGTCACCTCACGTACAAGGCATTTCAATCACCAAATATACCAATCCTAAGGGGAAGGTCCCCCACACAAGGTTAGATAAGCCACTTACCTCGAACCGGCTCAAAATCAACCCAACACCGCGTCTTTGCCACGAGTACTCGACTTCAAATGACCCAAATCTATTCAATTCAATTGTATAATGTAAATAGCACTTCAAGTAACTAATTCTACAATTAAATTCTAAGCTAATACACGAAATTATGTAAAATGACCAAAATGCCCCTCAGGCCCACGTCTCAGAATCGGGTAAAATTTACATTTTCAGAATCCACATACCCTCATGAGTCTAACCATACCAAAATTATCCAATTCCGATACCATTTGATCCTTCAAATCATCATTTTACATTTTTGAAAGATTTCACAAGTTTTCTTCCCAAATTCCATCCCAAATCACGAATTTAATGATGAATTCAATGATGGATTCATGTACTCTAGCCAAATCTGAGTTAGAATTACTTACCCCGA